GGTGCTGCCCTTGCCTCGCTTTTTGTGGCCTCTTCTGCTTCTTCAGCCAATGCAAGGCTGTCCCGTATGCCATAGTCACAAGATTCTCACTCAATCTTGTTTTTGCATGTCAAGTGAGGGGGCTTCCACCTGTGCTCTTTAGATGCTATTCTTCTATCTAGTCATTTTTACCGCTTTTTGATGTTTAAATTTGGAAAAATCATTCCTGGTTATCATTCCCTTGGGCCTCACTTGATAACTCCTCCCCATCCTTGGAGTTTGTGATCTTGAAATACATGTTGACAGTTAACATGATTTTGCACCACGCACATTCAAATATCTCGTTAGCCAAAACTATTCTTGTTTATTTGTCTTCTTTACTCCCACATCAATACTTCCAGTTCTCTTAATTGTTTTTGTTGCTTCCCTGTGAGTTGTTTCAATGGGTTGACATTACTGTGGTACTCTGGAGTCCTGGTGTGGTTCAACCACAACTGTGTAGGGTAAAGAAGCCACAACAGATGTGGTTTGAAGCTGCTTTCCTTATGCTTCTTATTGGTGAACAAAGAACAAAGGCCAAGCAAACAATTGCTCCTGAGTATCTAATGGTTCACAGTACTTCTAGGGTGTTACTTGAAGACTAGCTATCTTCAGGACAGAAAGATGATAACTGTATGGCTATTGTAAGCTCTAGTTCAGATCCCCATTGCTGGTTTTCAACAAGCTTCCTGTTTAGTTGAGGAATGGGGGCATTATAAGAGCTCCCAATTTCCCAGCAAACCTGCAGATGCCATATAAATATTCATCTGGGTCGGTGTCTGCACCTTTCACACAGATTCACAGAAGTTTAGGGCTGGAAGGGACCTTATGAGATCAAGACCACTGGGGTCAAATAACCCCAGCAAGGTCAAATATCTACGAGACTGTTCTGTCCCTTCATACCTGACCTTTTGCTTCTTGGCTTTGTTTTTATATTAAGGCTTTTCCATCTGATTCACAGCTAGGGGGCACACTATATTCAAACAGCAGGAGAGGAGCACACCTGAAGTGCAACTGCCATCCCTTATGGTCGTCTTTCCTTTCTGCTTTACAACTGGCTAAAGAATACTTAGTAATCTCATAAAAATCCAGTCTGCCCATTGGAGGCAACAGAGCTTCATCAGGAATTAACACTACAACAGGTAGCATTATGCAAGCTATAAATTAAATTCACAGCAATATAGTCAACAACAGCAAGCCTAGGTGGCTTTAATGGGGCTATTTATCACATTCCAATAAAATCACCAATAGAAATAGGATGATGTGGTTGGGCTATGGCATTTGCGCTCCCAGTCATGTTCTCTGCATGCTTTACCCAAGCCAAGTGGAAGTGCTATGTTTGCAGAGCCAAGTGCTAATATATTTGAAAGCATTCTTGCTTTAAAGCTACTGCTAAAGTTACCGATTGAGCAATCGTGTCCAGTCCAGTTGGGGTCACAGCTGCAGAGCCCGGTATCAGGCAGGAAGGTCCCGTGACCGGAGCACTGGTCCAAACAGGTAGCTCTTGGTGTCTCACAACTGGTTCCTCCCCAGCCAACAGAGCAGTGACATTCTCCCCGAACGCACACGCCTCGTCCAGAACAGGTGGGGTCCATGCAGTCCACTGCATAAGAAGGGGAGAGGGGGGCAGAGGAGAGAAGTACAGATATAAAGTTCAGGAATGGCCTAGTATACAAGTTGTGCTGCAAGCGTATGGTGCGGTACGACAGGGGAGCAGAGCAGCATGTGCTCAGCTATGATGTGATCAAGGAACGCATAGACAGCCCCTCTGAACACATACATCACACCTGAGAAGCTTCAATCAGTGCAGAACCTAGTATGAATTGGAGACAATCAACTGAGATTCATTAATACTTCATAGCTCAGCACAGTATATTATATATTGCATTATTATTATTATTAATAAATTATTCAAGGATCTCCAAGAGTTACAGCAAATTTGGGAGCTCGGCATTACACGCAGGAGGAAGTTGAGACAAAGTATATAACCCACTTGCTCAGACCGTGACAGAGCTGGGAATAGAAAGCACTGCATCCTATCCTAGTAACTCATAGATACGCCCTCCACTCCACAGGTGAGATCTGTGATGGGACTGGTGGGTCAGCCTGTACATAGAAATCACTTTTGCTTTACTCATTTATTATAATGCAGGCCTACAATGCTCCTGTCTGTTAGAATCACAAATTTTAAACCAAATCCTGAGCCATTTCTATGTGATGGGCACTCTTGGTTTCTAAGGTACTTAATGACTGATGCTTGAAAACCACAGGTGCCAGAAAGGCAGTCTTTAGTATTTAGGGGCTACTAAATGGATAATGTGTTTATACTGGCATTAACAGAACCAACCTATGTGTGTGATGCCACATAAACACTCAAAGGACATTTTAAATGTCTCTCACTGGTAAAGGGAAACAATATTAAAGCCCATTCTAGTGAAAACGATTTCCAGTTTACCTGGGACATCTCTCAAGAAATCAATTAAATTAAACCGCAGTGACAATGAACAGCAGGAACAGCTACTCAGCTGAGACCATATTAGCATAATTTCTGTCAGGCAAAAATGCCTAATGCGTTTAACCAATGCCACCAAGTTGCTGATCCCTACTCAGCCACTACGTTGTAAAATGTTAAGCTACTGTGGTCTTCTAATAGCAAAACTTTCAGATAGAGATTAAGACCCTGATTCAGCAAAGTACAAAAAAGCATGTGCTTAATTTGAAGCCTACTCTATATTCCTATACATTTTAACATGATTTGCATATGTGCTTCAATTTACTCAAAGGCTTATGCACTTTGCTGAATGAGGGCATAAAAATATAACTTATGAGTAGTTCTGTTCTTGTATTTTTATTTAGTAAAATATTTTGCTTTAAATCTCCTTGAGTGCTTCTGCTTAAGAGGGGCAGTTTCTTAAAAAGCATGAGAGAGTAGCCATTTGGGTGTCCAAGAGGATCCCACTGCATGAGGCTTATGTATGCCTCCAAAGAGCATCTTAGCTTAGACAAGACGCTGTCTACGTGGTCTAGTGCCATTCTTCACTTCATCCATCAAATGAAAAGCAGGAACCACACAACCCTCACCCCAGGTTACAACTCGGTGCAGGAACTGAGCATCTATTTTTAAATAAATAAAGGTACAGACAGCAAGCAGGAGGAAGTAAAAGTCCTTTCAAGCTATTCCTAGCTCTTGAAATGGCATGTGGCAGGGCCTTGAGGACCAATGCCAAGCGTCAGGCAGGCCAGGTTAGGAAAGCAGAGTTGTCCTACTAGGGGCTCTAGGACAGCTGAGCCGATCACGGCACAACACACTCTGGAAAGTTCAATGTTGTTTCTTCTTCTCCAGGTGTAATGAGACTTAGTTCAGATCCAAAACCCTGAAAGGAAACACTCTACCCCGGTTAAGCCATGCTGGTAATTCCTCGGCTTCACAAAGTCTTCTGACTCCAGCAAGAAATGGCTCAGCAATGGCTATCCCAAGGTATTTTCTGTTTTGCAGATTTCTGGAGCTCTGTTCATGGCTGGAACAATCTTTGAGACTCCTAAGATGTTGGAGAAGATAGATCTATAAATCTCCTCTGCTATTAGTGAGCGAGGCGTGCGGGTGCCAATTTTAGCATGAGCCCTGGATGCCCCTGGCCCTGTTCCTACTCTGGGGATGAAAGGGACTGAGCAACACACTCCCGGAGTCCTATGTTCTCAGCAGACGGTTTGAATGCAGAGAACAAAGATCATGGGCTATCTGACAAAAGCCTACCTCCAGGCAATTAATCATCCCCCTCTGAAAGTTGATTGGGGAAAAAAGGTAAGTTTTAAAGGGGGCTCCATCAGAGGAGGCAGGCGCTCTGCTACCTCAGCGCTAACACAGAAGATTATAGAAGGGGAATGCGTGTGTCAGAGCACCACATTTATCATAATCCCAAGGCCATTTTTCATGTTGAAACGAGCCCTTTCAGAAGATGTCACGCACAATGGCTACTTTAATCTTGCCCTCACTAGCCGCATATCTTTAGATGTTCTTTGGCGTGGCGGGGACCCTGGGACAGGATTAGGGGCTTTTGCTTTCTTCTTTGGCAATTGCTTTGGTGGTTTTCAAAGACAATGGCATATTTTGAAGAGTTCTGCTTGAGAACCTCAGCTGCCCAGCTTGGGGTGAAATGGGAACGAGGAACGAGGCGACAAGGTCTAGTTTATTTAAAAAAAAAAAAGAGTTTTGCATAGATTTGCTTTGCTGCTTGGAAAATGTCCCAAACGGTCTAATTCCTGTTTTAGAAAGTGCCCCATTTATAGTTGAAACCTTTTATAGAACCTGTGCTAGTGAGATAAATCGTGCAGCTAGCAATGCTATTGCAGATACTATACTTTCCCCAATATGCTTTATGCCTCATTGGTCATACAAGTTATTAGACTTATTCAGTACCCAAAGAGTAACTTCTCATCTTTCATTGCTTAAATTTGCTCCCCTCCTTTTAATGTCCTGCTGGCTCAGTCTGCACCTTATAAAATATGGGGCAATAAACTTTAGAAAAGAGAAAAGTAAAACCACATAGGATTGTCAGCTGATGTTTTATAAACATTGCTGGAACGTCTACGCTGGGGGGTGGGGGGAAGAAAAAAGAAACACTAGAATGAAAATCCATTATAAACATGGAATAAGCACTGAAGCTACACTATAGGAACTGAGAAATAATAAAAAAGGAATCAATACCAGATGGTCCTTAGAAGAGAAATTAAAAAGTAAACACAATTTTAAAAATAATATAAATCAACTTTTTTACTGGGTTTGAAAACATATCCTGCATATTTCCAACACAGCATAAGTTCTAGGTTGATTTCTCCCTGCTCACGGCTTCATGCAAATTATGCCTTGCATATGAAAAACAAATGTACGCTAGGAGCCCCCCTTCCTCCACCCCCAAACAGCTCACAAGAAACTCATATTCTCTTTGTTCTTCACTCCTTTTGCAAGTTTTCACCTAATGGGACTGTGATACTGTCCTTGCCATAGTGATAATATAAAACAACTGAAGTGGGTTTGTTCTGTTGTATCAAAAGTGGTCAGTGAAAGGAAGTTCAGACTAGGAAAAGGCCAAATCATGCTCTGCGTTGCATACATTAGACATTGTGGACATCAACACGGTCCCACACAAGTCTAGCTGAGGGCAGAATCTGGCTCTGTGTTAAATAGTTTCCATGTTGCTATTTTTGAATAAATAGAAAAGAAATGTTCTCATACATAAGAGTTACAGGGGCCCACATTGTAAATCTTTTCAGTAACAGAAATCTTTCAAGCCTTTCCCATTCTTTAGCTGGGGTTAGTTTTCTCACAGGATGGACTTTCAGCATTTACTCATCATTGTGTTGAACTCCAACCACCTATATATAAATTCACACATCAGATACTCAATCCTGGATGTACTTTATACAATGAAGAAGTCGTATCTCACATGGACATCTGAATCCAGTTCAGGGTATTCTTATTCCCACTGCACATAACCATGAGAAAATTCTTCGTGTCATCCTCATGCTGACAACCGAGCTTTCATAGCTTCTGATGAAATGAGCTTCAACTCCCAAAAGCTTATGTTATATGTATTATCTATCTATCTATCTATATCTAATTTAGTTAGCCTGTAAGGTGCAAATTTGTCCTGCCTTCCAACTGACCGTAAACCGAAGTCAACTCCACTCCTATGCAGAGGTGACAAACAAAGCAGGCGTTGCACAGCTTTCATATAGGCATTTGTGGCAAGGTTAATGAAACCGAGAATTCACTGTTTTTTGGAATTTTCTATTGAACAGCGCTTTCCGAAGTGCCAAATACTTGCTATTTCAAGCAAAGTCATAACAGGAAAGATTGGTCCTCAGTACCAATCAAAATCAGGCTTTTTAGGAGATATTCTTGTAAGTGGTTGATTGAGAGGTAATTTGCAAATATGGCGACATCTACCCACTTTTTTGTTGAGAACAATCGCATTCAATAGTAGTGACACACTGGGGATCAGACAGGCTTATCTTGTTGTATCTCATGATGTAGACATGGTGACACCCTAAAGATAAGGGCTTTATTGGCATCATCATTGTAAGCCACAAAAATAAATGACATGAAAAATGTTCCAGGGGTAATAGGAATTTGAAGAAATCTATGACAGATTCCTTAATATGATATCTCATTCTGAAGTTGAATTTAATTCAAGTCCTGTATGTGTCTACGCTTTAGACTTGAAAAGCAAGTGGGTCCTTTTTCACACATTCTACCATTTTGTACATGTAAGCAATTGTAATTGCTTGGCGTAGCATTTGCTCCAAGGGAAAAAACAAAAAAAAAATTGTAAAAGTAATTATACATTGAGATGTGTAAATGGAAATGATGCTTTAATAAGAAGATTTGAACATATGATTAGATGTTCTGACCCTTCAACCAGATCTGTCTATATGAATCATTTGATGGCTTTTCACCCAATTATTGCACACATACGACAGATAATTACAAGTTATTACAACATATCATTTTCATGTTCCAGCCATCCACCGTATTTCTAAGGTACCTATTGCTGTGGTGTCTAAGTGCTAGAACTATTCAGCGCTGCCTCGGTATACATAATTAGACAACCACAATCAAAGCAAAAGGCTAATTGAATGCATCTTGCAAATACCTTCTTCACAGCTCTCGCCTTTATATCCTGGGTTGCAGATACAGGTCCCCATGATGCACGTGCCGTGGTTATTGCAGGAGACATCTATGCACTGGTTAGTTGGAACGTCACACTCTGCCCCTTTCCAGCCACTGTGGCACAGGCACCTCCCCTTCATGTACTGTCCATTCCCACTGCACAGGACTGGACAAGATGCTACAAATGGACAGAAACAACATTAGAGCATAAATATACCCCATTTGCTCATCACACCAGGGACTGCTCAAGGCTCCTATGCCTGAGGAACCTACCGCGTTTTCCATACATACTCTTCCACTACAAGTTCCTAAGTAAATCCAGCATTTTGATATGGCTAACACCCACTGTCATGGGCTTCAGTTCCCTCTCTGATTATGTCGATCTCACATTTCTCTACCTTGCTTTGCTCGGCTCCTGGCTATATTATACGTTTCTACAAATAAATGCTTAAAGCAATGTGTGAAATAATGCTTCTGGCTTAAAATGCTGCCTTTTCCAATGTCTCAGATGCATCTTATGATTGCTTAGATTCAGACTTTTCATTTATTCCCAAGATCAGAAACACTGGAGTCCTCCAGAACCTTGAAATTTTTTGCTTCTTCTCTACTGTCACTAGCTTCAGATCTGCCTATCACTATCTTTGGATTGCCGCCAGACTTTGTATTTTCCTTGACCCTGTCTCTGCCTGCAAACCTTAGCAATGCATAAATCATTCACCATTTTTGCTCTTGTAATTTCTAGTTTTATGGCCTTCAAGTTCTTTGCTCAGGAGGGTTCAGACTGCTGCAGTCAGAGTATTCTCAAGCTTCAATTCACTTCCCCCGTCCTCTTTAACGGGCATCCGCTGCATTGCTTCTCCCTGCCACCCTTAAATACAATTTAAACTTCCTCCTGCTTTTTAAAAAAACATTCATTTAACTTCCCCCATCTTCTGTCTATATATAAATGTGTCCGTGTCTTTGCTCACATATTCTAAACCTCCTTCCTTTGCTTTACCATGAAACTTCAGAGGCAGCCACCCTTTGTCACCCCATTTAATTAAAAATAAGATGCTCTCTCTCATCAAATACTTCCTAAAAACCTGTTCACTTCAGCTCCACACTCTCTGTCACTCTGCTGCATTTTTCCATTTTTTAGCTCCATTGAAACTCATCTCCAAGGACAGGTATTCAGCCCAGATTTCTTCTGCCCACATCCCCCACACCAGCCTAACTAAGAGCAGCTGTATAAGCAGTGCCACTCACTATGGCATGTTATAAATATCTTCAGAAAAGACACTTTATCTTGTGTAATTTGGGAAACCATCTGCATTAGACGTATCCTAGATACAACACACCTACTTCAAGTGATCCCTGAGCTGGAGTTCATGTCAGGAGTGATATCCATAGTCGTTAAAGGAACCCTCCCTCTTGATTCTGTCCCTTCTCCAGCGTTGTTTTCATGACTCATGATAGACTAGCCCGTTTGTGTGTGTTAAAGCACCATGACCACACTGGTCCAATACCAGAAGTTACTCCCATTGCCTATTTCATAGATTCATAGATTGTAAGGCCAGAAGGGACTTCAGAAGATCATCGGGTCCAGCCCCCTGCACCAAGCAGGAAAGACAACTGGGGGTCAGGGGACCCCAGAGAGGTGACCGTCCAGTCTCCTCTTGATGATTTCCAGGGTAGGTGATTGCACCACCTCTGGAGGGAGCTTATTCCACAATCTGGACACCGTGACTGTGAAGAAGTTTTTCCTAATGTTGAGCCTGAATTGATCTTTCAGGAATTTGTGGCCATTACTTCTGGTCTTCCCCAGGGGTGTCCTGGTAAACAGCTGTTCGCTGAGCCCTTGTTGTGCTCCCCTGACATAGCAGTCAGCTGCTACCAGGTCTCCTCTCAGCCTTCTTCAAGGTTTTTTTGTGCATCATTTGCAAAGAGATACCTGTGTGCACAATAACATGCATATCCTGAGTCTGAGGACCTGGACAGGATGCACTGCTCACAGGAAACACGCCTCTGGAATTGATATTCCCAGCTGGCCTAAGTGAAAGGTTTTCATCTGCCTGTCTAAAATTGTACAGTGCTCTGTAATGGACCCTGCTCTTTCAAGGTACCAAGAGAAGGCAGAGCCCACAAATTTCTTCAGTGGGGAGAAAGAATAATCCCCTTTAATTAGGAGGAGTGTATAGGTGCTGAGAAGGATTTGCATGTGTCCTGAGAAGACTGTTGATACTCAGTACAAGATCAGCCCCTTGTAAGAACACCTCTGGGGCTGCCTGAAAAATGCTGCCAAGAAGATGGAGGCAATGGTAATTGCAGCATATCAGGATTACAGGGGCTAAAGGGACTTCTCAAATTCTTTAGCTCCTCTCCCATGTCCCAGGCAGCCCTAAGGACCATTCAGCTTTCTGGTTCAACAGTCTAAACCCAGTGGCCTGGTCTTTCTTATGTGGCTGAGAAGAACTGCCCAGTTAATAATGACTTGCTGGTCCCAGCGGTGCTGTAAACACCTTTGCTGCTCTTCCCAGCACCCATACTACACACACCTAGAGAGGTGATCTCTCAGGTAGGAAAGCCCCTAACTTTTGACGGCTTTGCAGATCAAAATCAACACTTTAAAAACTGCAGCTTAAAACCCGCAGGCAGCCAATGCATGTTGTGAAGTGCTGGTATGCCATATCCAGAGCAAGACGCTCTGCTTAACACACACGTCAGAAAGCAGAAGCAGCTGAAGCTCAAACTAAAAACACATATCTGTTCACACACATGCGGATAGTATTATGGGGATCCACCTAATTTTAGCCACAACGTTTTCTCACAGAAGAAAGACTCAGATCAGCTCAGGGAACCAAGCTGTCCATCCTTGTAAGCTCATCGGCGGATAGAAACTTTGAGAATGCCAGATGAAAGGCATGGAAGCTCCAGGTAGGTATGCAGCCCTTCAGGTTTAGGGGAAGAAGTTGGAAAGGAAAAAAACCAGTATAATTTATAGAATGATGTCTGCCTAAGTCTCTAGGCAGCACAGGGAAAAAAAAATCCACGAGGTGTGAACTGCTCTTTCATCTTGCTGGGCTGTGAACTCTGAAAACTACCTCCCGTGGGCCACATCACCCCTGCGGAGAATAGTGTGGGTATAGGGTGTGGGTGGGAAGACAGACTAGAGATTATCCTTGGTTTTCTTCCTCCTTCCCCATTCTTCACTGTGCTGGGATGCTGCGAGCAGAAGCCTCACACGCAGGGACCCCAGCTCAGCCGGTGCATGAGATTGATTCAGCCTGACCTCTTTTGGGAGTGACCCCAGACTGCCTTGAGGACAAGGAGTGATATGATGGCCTGCTGATCCAAGGAGGAGCAGCAGTGAGGTTCTCGTGTGGGCAGTAGAACTGGGCAACAATCTTTGGTCGAATTATTTTTTCCACTGAAAAAAATGTAATTCGGGTCCACCGAAACGTTTGGAGAATTGGCGTATAATCCATCAAATGATTTCAGTTTAAAAACAAATTATGCTGAAATCCATTTAAGAGGACCTTAACATTTTTCCTTTTCACATTTTGGATGTGAAACATTTTGATTTTTGAATTCAGAGCAGCACTGACTTCAGTTGAACAAAAAAATGTTCAAAAAGGTTAAAACGAAGTGTGAACAATATGTGTCAAAGAAAACATCATGTTCATGCTAAAAAAAATATTTTAATTTTACCAGGAAAAACCTGATTTCCCCCCCCCCTCCACTGGAATTCAACCAGATATAATTTCCCTCCTATTTTTCTGGTTTGGGCAGTGAACTGACTTTTTTACCTGCCAATATTCCTCTCCAGCACCGGTGAGCCTATGTGAGCCATTTTTAGTGGCATGTAGTGCTGCAGGGTGCATTAATTCAACCCCCTCTCTCTCTGGGTCACTAGATATCACCTATAAGCTGTGCAGCCCCATGAAGCCTTACACAAGGAAAAGAGTCCCTGAGGTCTCCTTTAATGCCAGAGGACAAAGCATCATTATGAAGTTCTACTAATCTACAGATAGAGTGGCTCGCTGGAGAAACAATAGCACAACTTTTCTAAGCCACCTTTTCTCAACTGGCTCCCAAAGAGAAAGCTCCCAATGAGCCATTATTCCCATTGTCGACTCACATGCCACTCAGGGGCTTGTGTCACCAAGGTTGCAAGAAGCATGGCAAGTAATAAATAAACCGACCCTCCATCCCAGTCCATTCCCACTCCACTGTAGCATCCCACCTAGGGCAGGTTTCCTTACGAAGAAGAACGGTGCCACAAATGGGCACATCCAAAGTGTCCTGAACCATTTAACCCAGAGGAAACAACAGGTTCAATCCATTAGAAATTCTTACCTCGGCCACAGTCAGGGCCCAGAAAGCCAAGGAAGCAATGGCAGGTCCCAGACACGCAGTCTCCATTTCCATAGCAGTTACTGGGACAGTTATCCATGGATTCTAGAAGAAAAGAGATGGAAAACATATTTTTTTTAATGACAGAGAAATCCCTGGTCTGCGGCAGGACTGGTGATACCTCAGGGCATACAAGCATATAAGACACTTAGAAGAAGGAAGCATTCGTTTGAGCCGGATTCTTGGAGGAGCATCAGTTATCCCAGGAGTGAGTCTGGTCCTAACCTACTTACTTTATTTTATTTTTTTATAGGATGAGCAACTACAACTGGAATCGTGGTGCCTCAGTGCCCCTCAAGGGCAGGCACAACGCTTGGCAAAATACATGGAAACACCATTTTTCCATATGAGTTAATACCACTCTATATCATAAGGGCTAATCGCTGTATTGACTGAATACCTGTGGTCTTAGAAGTGAAGCAGTCTTGATTGTGGCTAGCATTTGTGCAGGAGACTTCCTGAGTGCCTTAGAAAGAAGCCAAAGAGTCATGGATGAATCCTTGGTCAATCTTAGATCACAGCAGTCACTGAGTGGAAAGGCTTCATTTGGCCCTTTTGTTACTGATGGGCAGGAATTAAAAAAAGATTGGCAAGGAGGTGCAATTAAGGCCTGAGTCAAAACTTCACCCAGAGCTTGAAAAATCCCTGATAACACATCTCCTCTATGTCTGAGAATTTGCTGCTTGTGATTTGAATGGAGATAAGAGGTACCAGAGGTCTCCTGACAGACCTTGCTCTCTTGCAATGTCTCCAGCTCTGATTTGTGCACTTGAGACCCTTGGAAGCGTTTCAATTCTGGGCTCTTTGTTTGAATTGGACAGAGTTGATTTGCAAAGGAGATTTTGCACACTAAATTTTTCAGGAAAAGATCTGTTGGATCATCATTCTCCAGTGCGGGGTGGTTTCCTCTGGTACGGTTTCTAGTGTGTTGTGCCATGCACAATTCAAAGTCCTATGGGATGGGGCTGCCTCTGTTTCTCTGAGAAGACTACTGCACACTTCTCTCTGTTTCGGGTTAATGCCACCAACTCCCCGACTTCGACAAAACATTAGAATTTCATCTTGTAAGAAAAGGATGAGGCAGGGAAAATCGTCCAGTGCTTTTATTTTGCTTTGACGTGAGCTTGCAGCACTTCCACTTGTATTTAAGAAAAGCAACTCATGACCTTACTTCCCAGAGAGAGGGAATGTAAATTGTTGCTTTCTTAACACAAGTTTCTGTGTGGGTATACTTTTTGTGAGACTTGGGAAGATGACAAAATACCAGGGTTTTATTCTGGTCTGTTATTTCAGATTTCCTCCAAAAAAAAATTTCATGTCCGAACGAAATTGGACTCAGTCGTATAGTAGCTGCGCTAACATCACATTTTTAATTGAAGCAGGTTGGGAATGGTGGCCCTGTGGGTAGCAGCTTTGCACTCTCTGGGGCTTTGTGGCAGCAAACATAAACTTCCTGTGGGTCTGAATGAATTGAAACAGCTACCAGCGGTGTATGGCATTAGTTTGTAAACCCAAAGGAAGCCTAGTTCTGATTGGCTGTGCCCAGAGTGACAGGGGTTACTGAAAGCCACTTTAAGGGATCAGGCATAATTCAATCACCTGCTGATTGCAAAAGTAGTTTTAAATAATAAAAATGTGCTTCAGGCCGTTGTGTTTTAGGCCCCCACATAGACTCCCAACAGCTACCGAGTCGTATTTTGCAGGTAATGTGTATGGAAGTGTTAGGAGTCTGATGCTAAAGCAGACATCTGCTGTACAGCATATAAAATGCAATCACAGTTTCCATCCAGTCCACTCCTTGGCCTGATTCAACACTCTGTTGATTTAACATAGACAGGAGTAATGTAGCAAGGACCCAGCCCCTTTTTTGTTGATTGGTTTGCATAAGGCAAGGACCTTGCGCTATTAACTGATGTATTTACACAGCTCATCTGGTGTCAGTTAAAAATTTAACTTAGCATATGAATAACTGACTTTCATAATTGTGTTTATGGTGCCTGTAGACGGGGGTTTGGCTTCAGTATCAAAGCAAACATTGTTGTTAGGTTTTTTCCCCCTCTTTTTTTCCAAAGAAAATTTTCACACGCATAAATACTTTTGAACAGTTCGAAACACATGTGCGCATGCACATGCACACACAAGGATCCCACAGACAGACCTCAGATTGCCATGATTGGCTGACTTCTGCAAGCCTTTCTCGTGCCCAGTGACAATGCTGTGTCTTGCCTTTCAAGTCAATGGGAATAGACCAGCCCGTGCTATGTAGCCTGATAGGCTATCAGTGTTACTACAACACGTAGGGAAAATGGGAAGTTCCTATTTTTGCCAAAGTCTGATGTTCAAAGACTCAACACAGAGGGAAAAAAGGCCCTCAGTAACTTTAATATGTGTGGCCGGGTTTGTCTGATAATATCATCGATTAGACCAGCCACAGAGTCATCAAACTAGGGCTGGAAGGGACCTCAAGAAGGTCTTCCAGTCCAGCCCTCTGCTCAAGGCAGCATCACCCCCGTCTAAACCAGGGCTGTCCAACTGGAACCCATGAGTGGTCAACATGTTGCCTATGGGTCCTTGCAGCCACCTCTCCCACTGCTGTGCAGCAGGGATGACCAGCATGCTGCTGGTGCTGCCTATGTGGGGGACAGAGGGACCCAAGGAGCCACGTGTTACCAGTACAGCCTGGGGGGTGGGGAGAAGGGAATTTCTGGGGGGCACTGCCCAGGCAGCATGTAGCCCATCAATGTGCCCATGTCACTGTTAGACAGCCCTGATCTAAGCCATCTCAGTCCAGCTGCTGGTCCACTCTGCTCTTAAAATCTTTGGGACTGGTACTCGCACACAACTACCGGGCATGATGCCGGAAATATCAAAAACACCATAACTTGCTAGAGGTAAAGCAGGGGGACAAGAGAACTGTCACTGTCCTATCACTGCAAGGACAAGAAGTAGCTTGTTAAAGTACGCTCAAGAGACCCAAGAAACAGAATCTCTTTAACATCTCTCCCAACTACAGAGTTTATCCAATAAAAGCTATGACCAAAGAAGCCTTGCTTCTTGCATAATCCCTAGACCACAGCAACTGCAACAACACTTTGACCCCACTACAAGAAGCCTGTGC